GTGTGTGTGTGTGTGTGTGTGTGTGTGTGTGTGTATGTAATGCTGGAAATTTGTGTGTGTGTGTGTGTGTGTGTGAGAGAGAGAGAGAGAGAGAGAAAGAGAGAGAGCTGAAAATTTAAGAGAGAGAGATATCTGAAAATTTAATCCAGGACCTTGTTCTTGCTAGGCAAGTGCTCTACCACTGAGCTACACCCCCAACCCCCCAATTTTTATTTTCTACTTTGGAATTTTTGTGGAACTTTCTATTCCTGTCTTCTTTGTTATCCTTGGGAATAGATGAGGTATAAATTTTTAAAGTTTGAATACAGCTGCAATCCCAATTATAGGGCTTATTTAATGAATTGATACATAGGACCATGCCTCATTTTATGACCAATACCTATATCATCATATCCTTATCTCCTATGCATTTTTGGGGTGGGGACACTAGGGATTGAACTCAGGGGCACTTCCACTGACCCACATCCCCAGCCCTATTTTGTATTTCATTTAGAGACAGGACTCATTGAGTTGCTTAGTACCTCCTGTTTGCTGAGGCTGGATTTGAGCTTGTCATCCTGCTGCCTCAGCCTCCCCAGCGGCCGGGATTACAGGCTTGCGCTACCATGCCCAGCTTCCTGTATACTTTTGACAGGGAAAAAAATTGATTGCTACGATTCAATGTTCAGTCGAAAGCTGAATCCCTTTCTAAGACATGTGGCAACTGGGTGCAATGGTGTGTCTGTGATCCTAGCTACTCAGGTTAAAGGCAAAGAGTCTCATCACAATTTAGTAAAAGGGTGGCTTAGGTTGCAAATGCTGAAGGTAATGACAACTGTACCATATATATTGACAATGACATCAATGGGATTTGTAAAGTCAAAGAAGAGTCCCTGTGTTTGGCTTGACCAACTAGAAGAATGGACAATACTGAGATGGGGATGATAATAGGAGGAACAGGAGGTTGGCTATAACATTAAATTTGGAACTGCAGTTAGGTGTCCAATGGAGATGTCTACTGTACAGATGTATATAGACTTAAGTTCAAAGAAGGGGTCCAGGCTGGAAATAGATGTTTAGGAATCATCAACTGATGAATGGAGTGAGATAATTGAGGGAATGCCTTTAGAAAAGAGAAATGTCCAGTGCTCAGACCCTGGGGGAAAAGAGAAGGGACAAGAGACAAAAAGAGACTGAGAATGTGTTTGAAGCAGGAGGAAAAACTATTAAGAGTATGGAGAGATAGAAGTGTTTTAAGGAGGACAGAATGGCCAAGTGTGTCAGATTTTACTAAATGGTGTAATGAGATGAAGTCTCAGAGAAAGGAACCTGCAAGGTGAAAGTCATATATCAACTTGACTATCAATCTGATGTTGGGAAAATCCTAACTGGGGAGGGTTTGAGAGAATGAGAAGTTGGAGACAGCATGTCATGACAACTTTAAACTTTTCTAAAAAGAGGAATAGAGGAATGGGGCAGTAGCTGGAGAATGAGGTAAAAATCAAGAGTTTTGCTATTTTTAAAATGGGAGAAATTGTAGTATTTACATATGCTGATAGGAAAGATCCAGTAGATGAAAGAGACCTGTGGAGTCCCTTGAGAGGTGGAGATGTCCTTCAGTAGATACAATGGGATGCTCCTATAGGTGCATGGCCAGCAAAGTCACAATAACTGGAAGGAAAACAATACTGATTGAACCACAGGCTTTAGGTTGATATGGTGAGAGCTTGTGAAAGTTTTCTTTTGACTGAATTTAATTTTGAGATGTGTGCCACTGCACTCCACCATTCTTTAAAAACAAAAATTCAAAAAACTAATCCAGCTGCTAGCTAATATAGCACAAGTTTACACTGTTAGCTCCTCTTTTTCTGTTCTTTATGATTAACCCCCAAACTCCAAATTCTCAAGCATTCTTTTTCCTTCAAGAATTCCTCTTTCCCAACACTTATTTACAAACTATCAAGCTTTTCAACAGCTAGGAAAGTATTTAGTAAATTACAGCCAGCCATCTACTTTGTTAGACATAAAAGAATTTGTTGATATCTTTTTTTTTTTTTTAAAGAAATTTTCTGGGCACACTGGCCCACACCTATAATTCCAGCTATGTGGGAGGCTGAGGCAGGAGGATTGCAAGTTCAAAGCCAACCTTAGCAATTTAGCAAGTCCCTAAGCAACTTAGACCCATCTGAAAATAAAAAATAAAAAGGGCTGGGCATGTGGCACAGTGATTAAGCACCCCTGGGTTTAACCCAGGGTACTAAAAGAAATTTACCATTATTTTGATCACTTAGTAATATCTGTTCACCCCTCTATTCCCACATTTGGGAATAATTCCAAATAGTAATTTTTGTCTGCCTTGGCCTTAGCAGAAGGATTTTTCCTCTGGTTAGAAGAAAGTCTTTATTGCATCTCTATCTATTCCTGTCTCTCTTCATCTACTATAGTAGTTTTAATATTCCTTTTGTTATTTCCACATTTGGTTGCAGATTTTTTTTTTTTTTTTTTTTTTTAGAGTGAGAGAGAGGAGAGAGAGAGAATTTTTAATATTTATTTTTTAGTTCTCGGTGGACACAACATCTTTGTTGGTATGTGGTGCTGAGGATCGAACCCGGGCCACACGCATGCCAGGCGAGCGCGCTACCGCTTGAGCCACATCCCCAGCCCCTGGTTGCAGATTTTGATTCCCAAATTTTCTATAATATTACTGCCTCCAGTTAGTTTTTTAAAAAATATTATTATTATTATTTTTTAGGTGGGGTTCTTCTTCTTTTTTTTTGTCTTTTCTTTTTTGGAACTGGGGATGGAACACAGGGCTTTGCGAATACAAGGCAAATGCTTTGCCACTGAGCTATGTCCAGCCCTCCAGCTAGTTTTTTTAATAGGGTGTTTATAACACCTATACCTTCTTTTGAGGGTTGAAATATTTGCTACGTGTTTTTATTGCTATTAATATTATGCTTGTTTTGCATCCACAATCTCACATTATTCTAGAATGTTTACTCCAAGAAATGAGGGTTATTTTTCTTGTTGTCTCCTGTATCCCCAGGGCCTGGCACTGAGATGCTTAATAAATATTTCATGAATGAATGAATTTCAGGAGAGGGTCTTCTACTAAGGGCTGCATTAGTCTCTGGAAACAGTACCCTTTCACACACTTCGTTTTAGTTATTTCCACCCCCTAAACACGCTGCTTTTCTTGAGGTATGTAGATTCTTCGTGCTGACTTCCATTAAAATCATGCTCACCTGCTCATTGATGATCATGGATACACGTCTTACTCTTATGTACCATGAAACCAACAGTGAGCTGGGAGGTTAGGATGCAAAAACCAAAACAATAAACATAACTCTACAAAGTGTTGGCTCATTTCTATGAGTAGTGGTGATAATAGAAGAATGCTTTCAACTAAAACCCCTTAAAAGATGATAAAATTGATATTTTCTGTCATTTCTATAATATGTGCATCATTTTGCATGAAGTTGTAGAGAATTTTTAGAGAATCGGGGCGTACAGTTTTTAAGAAGAAAGGCCTAAATCATAATTTATATTTCCTTATTTTCATTCAGTCCAATGCCCTTTTACTATGAGAGGCAATATAGAGTGAAGACTTTTCAAAATCGCCTCTTAGTAGCTACGTAAAATAGAGTTAATAATAGCCTCTACCTCAGGGTTGCTCTGAAAACTTAACTGAATCGATACATGTTATTTCCCACATTTGTGGAAAACGCCCCCCCCCCAACTGTTTCTTAGAGTGCTCAACGCGAAATTACCATTCAATGTAGTGAACTGCTTCGCAAACTAAACCTTTTCATGTATAAACAATGAAATGTACAGTGATTTTCCAGCCTCTGTCCAATCTTCTACCTGCTGTGTAGGGGTGGTGAGAAAGCAGTTGCCTAGGATCACAGGCCAAAAGTTGGATGAAAGTGAGCCACATAGAGAGGGGGGAAAAACATCCTGGGCCCGAGACTCGCGCGGTAGCCCGCCTTCTCACTGAGGTCGGAGGGAGTTGCTGACCCACGTTCGTCCCAGTCGCTCCAGCAGCGCATTTTCTCAGCGTTCAGCTCCCTACAGACGTGTTAGTGGCGGGCCTCGACCAATGGTGACACAGCGCCGTGAGAGCAGCAGCCAATCAGCAGCTAGGAGCCCGGAAAAGAGCAGGGCCGAGATAGCAGCTGCTGGCGCTTGCCAGAGAAGGGCGAGCGGCGCGGTGGAGCGCTGCGGAAGAGGTAAGATGGCGGCCCTGCGTGCTCTTCGCCTTTGTAGTTAGGCTGTTTTTTCGCCCTTTCTGTTGTCTCAGAGCGGCTGCCCCTCCTCAGGCAGCTTCGGAGTCGCTCTTCTACTATAGACTCCTGGGAGCCAGATTCTTCGGTGCGCGGAGCCTTAGGACAAAATGGCGCTTGCACTGCGCCCGAGGCCAGCCTGGGCCCAGCTGTGAGCTCTGAGGCGGGCTGGGACAAAGGCGGCGTGCAGGGCAGCGGGGGCGGGGCGCGGCGTTGCGGCGGGGCCACGTGGGGCTGGCGCCACTCTTCCCCTCGTGCTGCAGCCATGAGAGTCCTGGAGGTACCGTCAGCGTGGCTGGGTGTCGGGGTAGGGCCCGGCGTGGAGGGAGAAGTTAAAGGGGAGGCAAAGTCTCCAGTGCTAGGGAGACTTGGGAAGGCGGTGGGGGAGTTATGGAGCGTACCCGCGAGGCCGCCTGCTGCCTGTCCTTTAGAAACTTACCTACCCGAGGTCTATCCGGACATTGTGGAGTAGGAATTTTCGGGAAGGGTAAGGGCATTTTGATCTTCCTTGTGACCCTACAGGTTTTGGTATGAACAGGATTCGGATTCACGTCTTGCCAACCAATCGGGGGAGGATCACCCCAGTGCCCAGGTCTCAGGAGCTCCTGTCTTGTTCGTTTACTCATCGCCCGTGCTCGCAACCTCGCCTGGAGGGCCAGGAGTTTTGCATTAAGCATATCCTTGAAGACAAGAATGCACCCTTCAAGCAGTGTAGTTATATATCAACAAAGAATGGAAAGAGATGTCCCAGTGCTGCCCCAAAACCCGAGAAGAAAGACGGGTATATATGTATAGATACATACGTTGTTTGTGCCGTTAGTCTCTCTTATTTTTGTTTCTTCTAGTGCTGAGGATTGAACCTAGGGAATCGTGCATGCTGAGCGCCCACTCAACCACTGAGCTCCATCCTCAAACCTCCCCACCTTTATTTTTGTGATAAGGGGGATAAATGATATGATCTCTGGGCTTAGGCATAACTGCTGAATTTTAGATTATATGCTTTTAAAGTTGGACTTATGAATATATCCTTGGAAAAATAAAAACCAAAATACAATGGTGATTAATTGGAAGGACACTTGATTTGGATCACTTAGTTCATCTCTGGATCTTTTTCCTTGTCTGTAAGTTGAAGGGATATTCTAAATTCTTAATGCTGGGGTGCTGACTCTTTTGGCTTGTACCTTGTTAAATAATAGGCAAAGTCGTGTATATGTGTATTTTTTTGGAAGAGACTTCATAGCTTTATAAACAAAAGTATCCATGTAGAAACATACCTCTTCTAGATAATTTTGTGTAAAACTTCGAGTTTTAAAATTGTCCCACAGGCTGCGGGGTGAAGGTAGATGCCTGTAATTGCAGAAGCTGGGGAGGCTGAGCTGGAAGCTGAGGCAAGAGGATCCCATGTTTGAAGTCAAATTTAGCAATTTAATGGGACCCTCAGCAACTTATAGAGATCTTGTCTGTCCCAAAATCAAAAATAGGATGGAATAGGGGCTTAGGTTATAGCTCAGTTGGTAGAGTGCCTGCCTCACATGCACAAGGCCCTGGGTTCAATCCCCAGTACCACAGGGGTAAAAAAATGGATGGAATGTAACTCAGTGGGTTTAATCACCAGTACCAAAGGAAAAAAGTGTCCTACATCTTATTACTTACAGTGGATTGATATGAAAATGACCCTTCTAGAATTAATTGTGAAAAATTAATCTCTTTGTTATTTGTTATGAGATCATGTCAACATTGTTATAGTCGGAATGTTTTGTTTAATGGCTAGTGCACTGGATAAGCTACCTGCTTTTCCCTTTAATAACAAATGTGGGCGGGGGTGTAGCTCAGTGGTAGAGGCTAGTTAAATTCATCTGATTCATTGGCCATTTGAGGAGTGAATGTAATATTATTTCAGTTTCCTGAAAATGCTCTAAAGATAAGTGACTATGAAAATTGTTGAACCCTTTCAAGAGAACCTATAAAATATTAATATTTATATCTTCTTAGGGTGTCCTTCTGTGCTGAACATGCCCGTAGGAATGCCTTAGCACTTCATGCTCAAATGAAGAAGACCAACCCAGGGCCTATGAGTGAAACACTCTTGTGCCAGCTGAGCGCATATGCTAAGACAGAATTGGGCTCTCAGACTCCAGAAAGTAGCCGCAGTGAAGCCAGCCGAATACTGGGTAAGGATATTTTCTCCTAGAATAAAAAAGGTGGGAGTAAAAAAGGTGGGAGAAGGTTAAGAATGAATTTATTTTGGTTTGAAGTATCTTGAACATATTTGGCAATATTATTCATTGGGAATTTGGTGAGGGTGATGAACTTCCAGGGTTGCTATGTTCTTCACCAGTTCTTTGCATTTGAAGGAGAGTTTGCTTAGGTTTATTCTTCTGAGCTGGTGACTTTTTTTTCCTTATATAAATGGTGTTTTTAATTTTAAGGTCTGGGTTGATTTGCTAAGTAATCTAGTTTTGTGTGGTGGAGTTACAGAGGTGGGAAGTCTTAATGACTGCTCTCCCTTCCTTGCCTCAGATGAAGACAGCTGGAGTGATGGGGACCAGGAACCCATTACTGTGGATCAGACATGGAGAGGTGACCCTGACAGTGAAGCTGATAGCATAGACAGTGATCAAGAAGATCCCCTAAAGTAAGTTGTAACTCCACATAAGGGTTTTTGAATATTTTCTGTAGTTAGCATGTGGATTGTAGTGTGACATGCTGCTTATAGATTAATAACCAAAGAGGAAATACATCTTAGATATTTGTGAGCAGTAACAGCTTCTGTATTTTAAAGTGTCAGCACCATCTTGCTTCAAGGCAAAATTTGATTGTTTTGTTTTTATGGTACTGGGGATTAATCCAGGTTCTTGTGCTTGCTACGCCACCACTCTGCCACTGAGATACATTCTCAACCCAAGATTCGATTCTTTTGTTGAAGATTTGTAATCTAGGAAGATTTTTGAATACTAAATTCTGTACATGAGAAAGTGTAGGGGAAAGATTAGGTTTTTTTGTACATGGAAATGAGAAATGCTTAGACCAGTTAGAGAAGAGACAATGGATGTGAACAGGTGGTTGTTCTAAATCTCAGGAGAGAGGTGATTCAGTAACTACATATTTTGCAAAATTTCATGTTTATGGATTTCCTTTTTAAAAAGGAAAATAACAGTTTGCTTTGGTTTCATGCCAAAGAAGCGGAAACTGATTTAGAAACACAGAAGTGAGTAATCATCCTAATTATATCTTACTAAGGTTTTACTTTTCACTTAACCCATGAAATCCATGATCCTTTAGTAGGTGTAATATATCAAAACTTGTCTCATATTCTAGAGTTTTATAATTATATTTCTCATGATTTGAGTTTAGGATAGTTTCCTTTTTCTTTTCTTTTTTTTTTTTTTAACCAGGAATTGAACCCAGGGCACTCTATCACTGAGCCATATTCCTAGCCCTTAATGATTTTTTTTTTTTTTGTAGAGGGACACAGCCCTATTTTGTGTTGCTTAGCACCTCACTTTTGCTGAGGGTGGCTTTGAACTTGAGATCCTCCTGCCTCAGCCTCCTGAGCCACTGGGATTATAGAATACCTTTATTTCTTTTTATGTGGTGCTGAGGATGGAACCTAATCCCTCACACCTGCTAGGCAAGTGCTCTACTGCTGAGCTACAACTCAGCCCTTTTTCATTTTTTAAATTTGAGACAGAATCTCACTAAGTTGCTTAGGGCCTTACTAAGTTGTTTCTGAGGCTATCTTTGAACTTGGATTTCTCCTGCCTCAGCCTCCTGAGCCTTTATGAAATTACATGTTTCGCCACTGTACCTGGCCTCACTTTTTTTTTTCTTCAGTGGTGGGAATTAAACTTACCTAGAGCCTACCATTGAGCTATTCCTCCCAGCTCTAGTTTTTCTTTTCCTGACGTCTGCCTCTTAACAGTTATATGACCCAGGAAAAAGTACTGTAGACAGTGGGAGAGATAATGTATTTTGATTGTTGGGCTTTCATTCTTGAAGTAGCATTTTTTCCCCCATTACTTGGGATTCTGTGGTATATTGAAGTTATTGAGGATTGTATTTTCTGAGTAGAATAATTTTGTCCAGTTCTATTGAGCATTCTCAGTCAGCTTTTTAGGAACAATTAGCGTAGCAGTTTGAAAGAGAATGCTTTCTAGCAGGATTCTCTTAACTATGGTAACTTATTACTAAACATTTATTTATTTTTTGGGTACTGGGGATTGAACTCAGGGGTGCTCAGTCAGTGACCCACATCCCCACGCCTATTTTTTTATTTCATTTAGAGACAGGGTCTCCCTGAGTTGCTTAGCACCTTACTGTTACTGAGGCTGGCTTTGAACCTACAATCCTCCTGCCTCAGCTTCCCAAGCTGCTGGGATTATAGGCGTGCACTACCATGCCTGGCTATTCTTTTTTTTTGCCCCACTGTGCTTTCTAAATTCTAGATGGCTAACTTGCTGCTTTGATATATAACTCTGTAGGGTCACAAAGTGTCCTTTAAACACTAAGCTTTTTTTTTTTTTCCCCTTCTTCCCTGTTCTGAGCTTGAACTCGGGTTCTCTGTCACCGAGCTATATACCAGTCCTTTTTATTATAGATTTTGAAAGTCTCACTAAGTTGCAGAAGCTGGCCTTAAATTTGTGATCCTCCTGCCTTAGCCTCCTGAGTTGTACCGCTGTACCCAGCAACATTAAAGTTTGAAGGCCCAGAAACATGATTTTGTTAATAGTAGTCTAGATCAGATTCTAAAGGACAAATTCATGTCAGTTTTACTCATAAGATACCGTATATCAAAATATCAGTTAATTTTCTTTAAGACAGAAATGTTAAAGGTATTAGGTAGTTGTCAGTCTCTCCTAGTAGAAACATACTAAAGGATAAATAAAGCTCTGAGCATTCTCAACTATTAGATAACTAAATATAAGGCTTTCTTTAATTTTCCCAGAGATATTATTAAAATAAAAATGTTTGTGAGGCACTGGGTTGGATCCTAAGCACCACATTAAAAAAAAAAAAGTAAAATAAAGTTAAAAAATGTCGTCTTAATAAATATATGCATTTTTAGGGCTATAGTTGTTAAATATGTATAATGTTAGTTGTTAAATATCTCCTTATGTTTAATTAGTGTGATTATGTGACTATCTAGTTTTTTATTTTCTTAATTTGTATTGAGGATTGATCCCAGAGCCCTGTATATGCTAGGCAGGCACTCTACCACTGAGCTACATCCCAGCCCTTTTTAGTTTTTATTTTGAGACAGTGTCTTACTAAGTTGCTCAGGGTTGCCTCAGACCTGTGGTCCTCTTGGTCAGCTCCCAGAGAGCTGGAATTACAGGTGTGCTGCCATGCCTGGCTCACCTAAGTCTGGTGGCACGGGGCCTATAGTCCCAGCGATTTGGGAGACTGAGGGAGGATCTTAAGTTCCAGCGTGGCTTTAGGAACTGTGTGAGATCCTGTCTCAAAATCATAAATAATAAGGGCTGGGGTTGAATTTCCAGTACCACAAACCAAGAGCAACAACAAAAACTCAACAGGGAAAAACAAGGAAATATCTCTCCCCATTTTGTGAGATCTTTGAGATTTTTCTTGCTTTCTTTTTGGTGGTGCTGATGATTAAACTCAGGTCTTGAAGATGTCAGGCAAGCCTTCCACCACTGAGGTACAACTCCAGTGCCTCTTTTTTTTTTTTGGTGAGGATTGAGAATTGAACCCAGGGACTCTATACCACTTAAATACATCCTTGGCCTTTTTTGAGGTGAGGTATCGCCAAGTAAAGCTGGCCTTGAACTTTCAGTCCTCTTACCTTAGCCTTCTGGGTCGCTGGGATTACAGGTGTGTACCACTATGCCCAGCTTTGTTGTCTTTTGATAACAACTCGAATGTTAAAATATTTTGTGAAAATATTCCTGTTTACTATCTTACTTTTAAGCTTGGGTTTTATTACTGTGTTTTCTTATTCTTTGTTTTATTCCAGACATGCTGGTGTCTACACGGCTGAAGAAGTGGCCCTGATTATGCGGGAGAAGCTGATTCGTTTGCAGTCTTTGTACATTGATCAGTTTAAACGGCTTCAGCATTTGCTGAAGGAGAAGAAGCGTCGATACTTACATAATCGAAAAGTGGAACATGAAGCTTTAGGCAAGTTTTATGCAGTTGAAACTGCTTATCTTGAGTTGAAGTTTCCTCTGTTTTTGTTACTTTGCTGAAGCATTCTTTTTTTTGCGGGGGGGGGGGGTGCTACCACTCAGCCACATCCCCAACCCTATTTTTCTATTTAGAGACAGGGTCTCACTGAGTTGCTTAGTGCCTCGCTTTGGCTGGGGCTGCCTTTGAACTCACAGTCCTCCTGCCTCAGCCTTCCAAGCCACTGGGATTACAGGTGTGTGCCACAGTGCCCAGCTGTAGAAGAATTCTTGATAGGTTACTCTGTGAATTACATTTTTACTTTTGTAATTCTTTAGGTAGTAGTCTCCTTACTGGCCCAGAGGGACTTTTGGCCAAAGAACGAGAGAATTTAAAGCGATTAAAATGTCTTCGACGGTATCGCCAACGCTATGGAGTAGAAGCCTTGCTACACAGGCAGCTAAAGGAACGCAGAATGCTGGCCACAGATGGTGCTGCCCAACAGGTAATTTGTTTATATATCTCTCAGATACCTCTAATATACTACTCACTTTGTAGAGTTGGAGTAATTAGCAAAACACTATATCTAGTCCTGGCTCTGAAATCTGACTTACTGGATTAGTAGTGAAAGTACTTATTGAGGGCCAGGAAGCATGGACTCTAGTCTTGGTCTTCTACTGTCTAGCCCTGTGCCTGCACAGACAGCTTAATTTCTGGGCCTCAGTATTCAAATTGAGGTGTTGGGATAGATTTCAAAATTCTTTGGTCCAGAGAGTCTTCAGAAATAGGCACAAATTTAAGCCTAAGTTGCTTAAGAGTCTTATTTTTAAATTTTAATTTTGAGAATTTGTTTATAAAAGTGGGAAGAAAGGTGGAAGAGTAGGAGCAAATGCATGTCAGGAAGTGTAGTTGATAAGAAGAGTTAAGCAATCACTCTTATCTATGATTTGTTGAGACTACCAATAAGGTTACAGTTTTAAAAAGGATTCTGCTGCTAAAGGACAAATTAGATTGAAAGCTATACACTACTGCTTTCATATGTGAAGGGATATGTTTTAAGACCTGGAGGCCTGAAACCAAAGATACTATTGAACCTATATGTTATGTTTTTTCCTATATATATATATATACTTATGATAATGTTTAATTTGTAAATTCTGTTCAGTAAGAGATTAACAATAATACCACAATAAAATAGGACAATAGTAACAATATAAGTGTAAAAATTATTCTAAATTCTTAAATTGTTTATTCCTGTAGTTTTCCATGTGGTATTTTCAGATTGAGGTTAACATCCTGAACCTCCTAGCTCTGGAAGCAGACTTTCATATGTGCCTCTCTAGACGATAAAACTACTATTTTATGCTTGTATAATCTGGAAAGGGGTATTTGGGATTAATGTTGACTCATTTTTTTGTATGTAAGGTTTTAAATTTTGTTTTATTGCATAATATTTATTAAATATTGAATTTTCTGGCCTTGAGGATGTACTTTTATTATATAACTAAGTATTCTTATGATAATTGGTTGTATATTCTTTTGTGGGTTTGTCTTTTTTATCTTTTTTCTTCATTTTAGGCCCATACCACTCGTTCTAGTCAGAGATGCTTGGCCTTTGTGGATGATGTTCGTTGTTCCAATCAGTCTCTCCCAATGACCAGACACTGCCTTACCCGTATCTTTTTAAAACTGCCTGTTGGGGTTCTGATTTTGTAGTTGAGGGCTAGTGAGAATCGTGGTGATTTGCTTAATTGAAGGCCTTTGAACCTTTGGCCCTGAATCAAGGCCAGCAGTTTGTTGAAGCTGTTGGTTTCAAGCAGGAGCCTAAAGAAACGTCTTTCTATGGTCTGTTGGCCATTTCAGAACTTTGGAAATGTAATGGTCAATTCATTAGAAAGAAACATTTGAATCATTAGTGATAGATATGGGCTAATTTTTCAATTAATCTCATCATGTCTCTTGATTCTGCTGTAGGACTACATATACCATTTGACTAACTTTATTATTAGATTTTGAAATTGCATCTTGGTTATAGGTATTGATTGAAAAAATTACTTTTTGTCATAAAAATACTTATTAAATATGCCTTTTAAATGAAAAACATGAATTTTGGTGGATTTCATTTGCCTTGTAAGACATACCAAATATTTGGAAATTGGTATGTATTTTCTTAGCCAGCATTTATGGCACCTGCCTATATCCTAGCTACTATTGTTATTAAGTATTTTACCAGTTTATAATTATTGCAGTAAATGTCTGATAAAGGATTACTGTCATTAATGTATAAAATGCTGTGCTAAGTAATTAGAAAGTAAAGATAAATGCTTAAAACATAATTGGACAGAGGTTGTCTGTAGACGGTTAATAGAAATGGCCTGTAGTTAGTGTTTATTTCACTCTAAACGGAAGAGATAAGTAAAACAAGGAAAATTTAAAACCTAATTTTGATATTTGTACATACATTTTAAAATAAATGTAAATTTTAGGGCTGGGGTTGTAGTGTGCTTGCTGCACACACGTGAGGCACTGGGTTTGATCCTCAGCACCACATAAAAATAAAAAATATTGTGTCCATCTACAACTAAAAAAATTTTTTAAATGTAAGTTTTTTTTTTAATTAGTGGATGAATTTCAAAAGTAGTTGAGCTTCTTCTAAATTTATATTTCAGTTGGAATATAAATTGATAAAAGGTTTTTGTGAAGCAGTTCGAAAATAATTCTTCCTTTGATAAGGCAGTTTTTGCCCCTGGAAATTTAAGAAGATAATCAAATGCAGTCAGATACTTAAACAAAAAACATTCTAAGCCAGGCACAGGGGCACACGCCTGTAATCCCAGCAGTTTTTGGAGCTGAGGCAGGAGGATTGCAAGTTCAAAGCCAGCCTCAGCAAAAGAGGGGTGCTGTGCAACTCTGTCTCTAAATAAAATACAAAATAGGGCTGAGGATGTGGCTCATCCTCAGTGGTTGAGGGCCCCTGAGTTCAGCCCCTAGTCTCCCTACCCACCCCAAAGTCTAATTGGAGATAGCCTTGTTTAGAGATGAGGAATAGGGAAATAAATTATGGCACAACAGATTTTTTGCACTAAACATTTAACAATTTATGAGTGAAGAGAAAAATTATAGTGAGAAAAATAGGATATAGATTTCTGTAGATTATGTTTTAACTGCATGGTACTAAACACTGAGAAGGAATGTAATATAATCATTTTTGCATGGTATGAATATCCTTTTTTCTGTTTCTGTATAATTTTTTAAAAGGAAACTTGAATTTAGTAGAGAAAACCCAGTTTATAGATATTAAAGACTATTTTTGACATTTCTTATAATGCTGTACTCAAATAGTATATTAGGATATAAATATTTTAAAAAGCAAAGTTGAAGAGGAACTGTATTTAACAAAGGAAGTATTTTTCCTTATATGCTCTTTTCCTTTCCATAGTTCCTAAGTTACTTACCCTTCCTTAAGTCCTCATCCCAGAGAAAGATGCGACTGCCTTTGGTGACCTGTTAACTCTTTACTCTGGTCTAATGGAGACAGCACTGGACTGAGTGAAGGACCCAGACTCTAGTTGTAGGTCAATTATTCCCTTTTTATCTCTCTCATCCTTTTCTGAAAGGAAATCGGGTGGAGGAGAATGGGGGTGGTTTCTAGGCTATTGTGGAATTAAATAGATAAGAGACTTTTGTGAAAGTCCATTGAAGTCAAATGGGAAAAATTCTAGTTGAAATATTTAGCAAATTAAGATTTTTAAATATTAATAATTTAAATAAAATTGAATTTCTTTAGCCCATTAGACATATTGCTTAGGTTTTCTAAAGCTCATAAGCGTGCAAATAAAGGTTCTTAGGTTTATTCAATAAGTATTATATTTACTTTGTACTATCTACTGTCCTTTTGAGTAGTGTTTCTCAACAGGGGGCTGTTTTGTTCTCCATTTGGCAATGTGTGGAGAAAATTTTGGTTGGGCCAGAGGTGGAAATGCTACTGATAGCTAGTGGATGATATTACTAAACATTCTACATCTACATCTTACCAGCCCATAGTGCCAGTACTGTCACAAGTGTGAAACTACTGGCATAGAATTAAACGATTTCCAAGTATGGCTGGAAAGAAAAGTTGTTTTTTTTTTTGTTACTGTTGGTACTGGGATATTGAAGCCAGGGATACATTGCCATTGAGCTATATTCCCAGCCTTTTTTATTTTATATTTTGGGTCAGGATCTAAGTTAATAAGGCTGACCTTGAATTTGAGATTCTCCTGCCTCCTGTAATCCTGAGTTGCTGGGATTACTGGTGTGTGCCACCATGCCCAAAGAGAAGTGGCTTTATTCCCAGAAGGTGTATTTGGTTTAAAAAATCATCATGTACATTAGTTTGTTTTCTTTTTTTTTTTTTTTTTTGGTACTTTGGATTGAACTCAGAGGCACTTAACCACTAAGCACATCCCCAGCCCTTTTTATATTTTGTTTAGAGACAGGGTCTCACCAAATTGGTGAGGCTGGCTTTGAACTTGTGATCATCCTATCTAAGCCTCCCAATAGATGTTTTTAATTTTTAAGATTATCTTAGAATATTTGAGATGAAAATTATCCATGATTTAATAATCCTGGTATAATCAGTTTAAAGAAAATTGTATTTTCTAGTTAAAAATATTCAGGTTTAAAACCATGTTTGTTTATTAATTTAGGGGAAATGACCACATTTTAAGATTTTAAGAAATGGTAACACTTGCATGAAATGTATTTTATAGAGTAACTGAACTTGAAATTTATTATCTAATTATGATCCCCCCCCACATTGGTATTGGGGATTGAATCCAGGGGTGCTTACTGAGCTACATTTCTAGTCCTTTTTGGTTTTTGCTTTGGGATAGGGTCTCAATAAATTTCTGAGATTGGTCTTGAACTTTTCATCATCCTCTTGCCTCAGCCTCTTGCTGGGATTACAGATGTGCACCACCATGACTAGCTTATGATTTAAATTTTGATTCTTTGCCAACTTGGAAATATAGCCCTTCCTGCTTTACCCTTAACAAAGTTATTGTAGAGCTCTTGGAGTGTTGTTCCTGGAGTACTTTTCCATGGTCCCTCATAAGCAGTATTGTCTTACTCCTTTTAAGATCATGAGAGGATTTCTCATGTACTATCATCCTCTTAAAAAAAAAAAATGGAAATTTATTATTTCCTCTCCATGTGTTAATTAGTAAATATTAATAGTAGAATTTCTGTTTTCCCTAATACAGTGCTATTTTAAAAGAATTTCTCATATTAAAAACAAGGTGCAATTTCTTTTTTTTTTTTTTTGCAAACTTAGCCACTTTTTTTGTGTGTGTGTGGTGCTGAGGATTGAACCCAGGGCCTTGTGCATATGAGGCAGGCACTCTACCAACTGAGCTGTATCCCTAGACCCAAGCTACTCTTCTTAACAGCAGAAACCACACTGTATATCTTGATTATTGTAGGGGTTGATAGGGGCTTTTGCAAACTATTTGCTTTTGCTATCCCTTGTTTCTTCTGAGTAGGTTTATGTTCCTAGGAGTGTTATTACTACTTGCTTAGCATTGTCATGGGGAGAACAGGATTAGTATGTTTAGTTTAAGTGACCAGGATCCTGGAAAGGAGGTTGGGGACTTGTTGCTTTTAAATTACTCGTAGAGCTAGAATTAAATGTTAGGAAATGCCACTCACTTTGAGAAGTAACTTTAAAAATTACTAACTGCATTTGGTTTTCTGCATGAAATGTATTGTCAACTCTACTATATTTTGTACCTCCGATAGTTGTTGTTATATTTCCCTTGACCATTTTTCTACAGATATTTGTCAGGATACGAATCAGGTTCTCTTCAAATGCTGCCAGGGATCTGAAGAGGTACCTTGCAACAAACCAGTTCCTGTAAGCCTCTCTGAGGATCCCTGCTGTCCACTGCACTTCCAGTTGCCTCCTCAGATGTATAAGCCCGAGCAGGTACTGTCTGTGCCAGACGATCTGGAAGCCGGCCCCATGGATCTGTACTTGAGTGCTGCTGAGCTTCAGCCCACTGAGAGTTTACCACTGGAGTTCAGTGATGTAAGTTAGAGAAGCTCTGCTCTGATTGGCCCTTGAGACAAGGCCGTATTTATTAATGGTGAGAATAGTTAGTCTGTTGTGGTCAGGAGAACTGTTAAAAAAAAAAAGTTTTTGAAGTGATAAATGTATGGTTGTATTTGTGTGTTAACATATTCATTAAGAGACTTTCTACCTTTTTTTTTTTTCCAGCCTGCTTTTTCTGTATTTTTTTGGAGATAAAATTCATACATTATAAGTGTTCCCTTTCAAAATATTTGATAATAGGATTTTCCCCACTTTGGTATATCCACATGTAGCCAATTGTCACTACCTAATTTCAGAATATTTTTATCATCCCAGAAAGAAAGCTAACTCTTCATTCTGCCCTCCCCAATCCTTAACTTTTGTGCCAGGCTTTTTTCATTTAGCATAATTTTTTTAAGCATATAATGTTTTTTTTTTTTAAAAGGGGTAACATAGACTTCTGGGAGGAAGAAGGGGGCCAAAGCTTGTATCCTGGTATCCCCTAACATAATGTTTTTAAGGTTCACTTATGTTGTAGTGTGTATATTAATAGTTCATTTATTTCTTTTATACTGGGAATTGAACCTAGGGCCTCATGCATACTAGGGCAAGCATTATACTACTGAGCTACAACTAAGCAACTCAGTGAAGACCCTGTCTCAAAAAATAAAGGGGGCTGTGGCTCAGTGGTAGTGTACTTGCCTGGCATGTGTGAAACACTAGGTTCGAACCTCAGCACCACATAAATTTGTCTACCTGTAACTAAAATAATAATAATAATAATAATAATAATAATAATAGTAAAATAAAAAGGGCTGGGAACGTGGTTCAGTAGTAAACACTCTAGTATGTTTAAGGATGACTCTTGTTTCTTTTTTAGTGAATATTTAAACAAATTAATGATTGTGAGATGTTATTATAGGCTATTTTCTGGGTTCAATACTCAATACAAAAAACGATAACAACAACAAAACCCCAAATAAAACAAAAACTAAACCACTTGGTAGTTTTTTTTTTGAGTCTGTAGTCTGTACCCCAGACTTGTCTTAGGAACTCTTGGGCTCAAGAGATCCTCTTGCCTCGCCCTCCTGAATTCTGAGACTACTGGTATGTGCTAGTGCATGGGTTTATAATTGCCTTTTAAAAATGTTTGTTTCATACAATATGAGGCTAGGAAGAGACTTCAGAGATTGTATTCCACTGCTTCTCAAAATGCCAATGAGATTATTATTACTATTATTATTATTATTATTATTATTATTTTTAAATATTTATTGTACACAATACCTTTATTTATTTATTTATTTATATGTGGTGCTGAAGATCGAACCCAGGACCTTGTACACGCTAGGCAAACACTCTACTGCTGAGCTACAACCACAGCCCCAAGATTATTTTGAAGAGATTAAATGATAGCCTCAGGTTGATAAGGACACAGTTTTGCTCACTTCATTTTGTAATATGAACAGCTTTGTAAGGTTTAATCACCTAATAAAAAGCACTGTATAACCAAAATCTCTTATGTACACAAGTAGAAATTAGTACATGTGTTTTGTAGAATACTTATGTACTAGGTTGTTAATTTTTATTTTGGTAATAATTTCTATAATCATTTCTGTTTTGACCTTTTTGTTTTTCCCCTTTAACCTCTTTTTGGTTTTTCTTTTACTTTTTGCAGTACTGGGGATTGAACCCAGGGTCTTGCATATGCTAGGCAAGCACTCAATCACTGAGTCAAAAAACCACTGTTTTTGACCACCTAGTGCATACATATGTATATGTGTGTTTGTGTATTATATGGTATTATATATAGACGTGTGCGCGCGTGCGTGCGCACACACACACACACACACACACACACATAAATATTTTGTACTTCTGGACTGGGATATGGCTCAGTGGTACAGTACATATCTAGAATGCTGAAAGCCCTGTGTTTAATCTCTAGCATTACAAAAACAAAACAAAACAAAAAACAAAATGTTTTATACTTTTCCCACACTTCTTTATTTTTTTGTTGTTTTTGGTACCAGGGATTGAATCCAGAGGTCTTAACCACTGAGCCACAGCCCCAGGCTCTTTTCTTTCTTTCTTTTTATTTTTTTGTCGCTGTAGATGGATATTTGCTTATTTTAGTGAATATTTAAACAAATTAATAATGATTGTGAGATATTATAGGCTATTTCCTGACAATTAAGAAATTTTTTTAAAAAATTTTTTAAATATTTATTTTTTAGTTTTTGGTGGACCCAACATCTTTATTTTATTTTTATGTGGTGCTGAGGATTGAACCCAGTGCCCCGCACATGCCAGGCGAGCACGTTACCGCTTGAGCCACATCCCAAGCCCCAGAAATCTTAATTTTAAAATATTTAAAAATATATCATCAAGGCCGGGTGTGATGGGTGCACCTGCTTGTAATCCCAGCAGTTTGGGAGGCTGAAACGGAGGATTGCTAGTTCAAAGCCAGCCTCAGCAACAATGAGGTACTAAGCAACTCTGTGAGACCCTGTTTCTAAATAAAATACAAAATATGGGCTGGGGTTGTGGCTTAGCAGTAGAGTGCTTGCCTAGCACATGCGAGGCCCTGGGTTCAATCCCCAGCACCACGTAAAAATAAATAAAACAAACTACAACTGAACAATAAATTAAAAAAAAAATACAAAATAGGGCTGGGGATGTGGTTCAATGGTCTAGTGCACCTGGGTTCAATCCCTGGTACCCACCCTCCCCCAAACATATATATCATCAAATTGGTCAGGCATGACTTTTGCTGGTCACTTTGCCCTTTTGCTCACTTAAAATCACCTCTGTTCTCTGACCCTAGGGAGACTTGTACATGCCTGTTTTTTTCTATTCACAAAGGTTAAGAGATTTAGAATGGAGTCTTTTGGGGAGGTAGTTGTTAAAGTTGGGGCATTTGATGCCTACATAGAGTCCTTCACAGGAGAAATAGGATTTGCTTTTTACCCCCGCCTTCCCCCACTGCTCCTGGGAGAAGAAGCTCTTGAAAGTGCTTGTGTGCCTGTATGAAACCACTACTTTACCTCCATTCTCCATGGTCTAAAAAGGCACATATGAAAGTCTGCTTCCAGAGCTAGGAGGTTCAGGATGTAGTCCCTAAACTTCCTAGCTGTAAAGTTAGATGCTTGATGTAAGGGGAAAATGGATTGTTTTTTAAGTAACCTCTCTACACTGCTCCTGGGGAATGAAGTCCTTGGAAGTGCTATGCTCTGTTTAAGTCTGTTACTTTTTTCCCCTGTGATCTGGAGAAACTTGGTGTGTATTCTCTGCTCCCAGTGTGAAGCCCAAATCCTCTTCTCCATAGGGAGAAGCCAGAATGTTGGGGATTACTTTTCCAGTTTTAGGTGCTGTGCCTAGAGCTGGGCTCCTGGCCTCATGTTCCTCTTCTTTTCCTCTCTTACATGTGATTGTTTTCTCAAATTGCCCAGTGGGTAGGAGCAAACAGCTACTCCAGCTTTCTCTCAGAGGGAATTGATCCCATGAGTAGAGTTTTTATGTGATGCACTTGTGGGTGGATGGAGAACCAGAGCTGCTGCTTCTACAATGTTGCTGATGTCACTTGTTGATCTCTTATTTTAGGTTTGTTTTCCCAATTTTAATTGGTAAAGGACTACGTGTTCTATATGTTAAGAGAAATGTTTCCTGTACTTATTTTCCCTTTGAAAACATTCCCATTCCATTATTATCTTGAGACTTGGCTACTTTTTTTTTCTTCACTGGAGATTTAACCCAGGGGTGCTCTACCACTGAACTACATCTCCAGCCCTTTTTAAAGGTTTTTTTTTTTTTTTTTGGTATCAGGAATTGAACCCAGGGCCACTTAACCACTGAGCCACATCCCAGCCCTTTTTATTTTTCATTTTGAGTTAGGGTCTTGTTGAGTTTCTTAGGGCCTAAGTTGCTGAGGCTGGGCTTAAATTTGGCAATCCTCCTATCTCAGCCTCCCAATGTGTACCCCCATGCCTTGCTCTAAGCTAATTATTTATATAATGATTGTGTTTAGTAAAAGAATTATAGAAAACATTTTATGGTCCTAATGTGTGAGAACACTGGTTTCTGTGGATAGTACAGAAGTTTCCAATAATCTGAAGTGAATGTTAGCTAGTGAACTTCTTCTTTTCTTTGTTCTTTTAGATTGAGCAGTTTTAAGTATGGTAGATTCTTCACTTCTTTTTTTTCCCCTCAATTGTGAAGATGTTATTTTCTTTCTTTCTTTCTTTCTTCCTTTCTTCCTTTCTTCCTTTCTTCCTTTCTTTCCTTTCTTTCCTTTCTTTCCTTTCTTTCTTTCTTTCTTTCTTTCTTTCTTTCTTTCTTTCTTTCTTTCTTTCTTTCTTTCTTTC